TTATGACACTAAACTAGTTGTAACTACCTGTAGATGGTAAAGGAAACCCTCATCAAAATGCGAATCGTTGAAACTACCGGCAAATAAACTGCAGAAATCATGCGTTGAGTTTTCAGGACTTTCTCCCATTGGGCTCATCATCGATCTAGAAAACGGGGGTCTGCTAGAGCTTGATTGGTGACCACCGATGTGACCAAGGTTGAGTTGGGACGGTGGAAGAGGGGGGACTGGAAACAAGGGTGGGTAGGGATACTCTGAAATCCGATGCCCTGGTTTAGAGGTTCCGTTATCATGATATTCCATTCCAAGGCTCGGCTGGCACATCAGTTGATTCATCGAAGAGTTGTAGCCGCTTTTAATGATGTTTTGAAGGTGCTCTTTTAGAGTTTGGATGTAGTTTATGGCTATCCGCAACAGCTCTAATTTCGTTTTAACGCGGGTTTCTTCGTAGTTTGGAATCGTGCTTCGTAATTCTTCGTAGGCGTCGTTCATTTTTCGGACCCTTTCTCTCTCATGGCGATTCGCAAGGAGGCGCTTTTCTTTTGACATCTGTCGTTTTCGCCGATTCTTTGCTCGGTCGTCTATATAAGCTTCCATCACTACACAAGAAAACGATGAGAAAGTGGTTAATTTGGAGGTGTTTCATTTCTACTCTTAGAAATTGAAAACGGTCTCTTCTCATTTAATAATAGTCACTGCATTAAACAAAAAGTTTCCGAGGTCATAGCACAGCTAAAATTCTATTGACTAAGTTAACTTGCCTAAGAAGGTCATAAATTTTTCAAGCAAACAGTTAAGGGAAATCATTTGTATCGTATGTTTAAGAAATGTGCTCTGTCTCTTATCAATATTTCCAATACGATATGTTATAGACTGATCGGCCAGTTTCTTGAGACTAGAAACTGGTGTATTTGCGAGTTACGAAGATGCAGACAAGTTAATTCCATGGTTCTTTTTCATCTTACCTTTTGAATGTGCTAGATATCCGTTAAAAGTCTATCGAGAATCATGTACTGGCACACGCCTGACGCTAGGACACTGTTTGGTAATCTTCAATCCAGCCGAAGGGCTTGTTTGATCAACCTCGCTGTTCACGAGCGGCGTCAACTGCTTTTATCTCCCCCGTTCACGTTTTCGCAAGCATAAAGCGCTCAAGACTGAATGTAAATAATAGGAAATCGCCTCATGCCCCAGCTGGTTTTTGCAATTATTTTGAAATACCCGTGAAAGGCAGTATAAACAGTTTATTCGAAAATATTTATCTTGCCCACTTAGGGAAATATAACTCCACGGTAAGGAGTTAAATTAACCCCGCTAGAGGACTTATAACACCTTCAAAATAACTGTGTAGATCTGAGTTTGTTTTTGTGGCGCCAATTCTAAATAAGAAAAAAAAAAAGAAAAAAAACCGTTCAAAAAATGGCAGGGAATCCCATAAATCCTGTAGTTATTGAGATTTGGCCTACCCTTTTGCTTGTTTGTTTGTCTGTTTAACTGGCTCAGTGCAGTTTCATGATCTAGAAAAGATGTCTAAATAAGGTGTTGAGGGATTCATAGCAAGAGCAAAAACAGTATGAGCGAAAACAGTGAGATAACCACTGGAAAGGAACAATTAGAATTTAAAAAGATAAAAGCTATTTTTCAAGTCAGCGAGTGTGCATTTTTTGCATACTAAAAAACAAGCAACGGAAGTAATTTTGGATGGCTAATTCGGCAAATGTCAATCAATCAAAAAAGTGGGCTGAAGACGTTTCGTATAAGGTTTGTATCAGGCTCTATTTTCGTTTCGCCTTGCCCGCCGAATGTTGTTTTCAAAGCGAAACGAAAATAGAGCCTGATCTCTGGTTATTAAAACACAGGCGTAATAAAAAGCTCCATTTTTCAACTAAAAATAAAACGGTAAGCCCAATCACATTTACATGTAGCTTCTTGCGAGATTAAAGGAGATCTCGAAGGTTATTTCTGTCGGCGTAGAAGGTAAAAAGTTCTCGAAAAGACGGCGACACGATGTTCTAGTTTTAATATTTTGGCTAGGCTCGCTCGAATTTAAAATGTTTTAAATTATTTGAAATATCTATTTGTCTTTTGTCTTCGTATTTTCCAAGGTAATTTTCCCCGATTTTCAGTACATAAATCTTTAAAAATCTTGGAGAAATATATCGCGAACTTTTTCAGAGGATATATAAATTATCTCAGAACAAACCAAACGAGTTCGCAAGTTCATAACTGATTTAGTCCCGGCGTACACTTGCAATTTGCGAATTTACTGAAGAAACAAACGTCTAAAAAACTAATTTTTTTTATAAATCCAGGTAGATATTATCTGCCGCTTTGGAAAAACGAGACGACACTTCTAAAACTGCTTACTCAACTGACCTATAAACAAAACGAAAACAATATTACAAACACACTTTGTAGTTCTCCTTAGTTGTGGTGTTGTTTTACTGCAGGTCTTAAAACTTGGCTCGCTAAATTTATCAACCGAAAATAACAAACAGCAAACAGCCAACGAGCGAGGACACCAGTTTTCCTGGTTTATTTTTTACAAAAAGCGAAGGCAAACAACAAGCCTGTTACCTTAACACTAGCGCCACCAGCTTTTATAATAATGCCTACAAAAATTCCTTGAACAGCGATGCGATGTTTTTCGTCTATTACTTCACGGTTGGCGATTGAGGTTTCTTTGGCAATGAGCCTCCGCTTGCGTACCCCGTTCAGAAAAGTCATTCCAGGATAAACCTTCAAATGAAACCACCTTTAGGATGGACAGTATTTTGATTTGCAAATAGTTCCGTAAATAAAGCAAATCCTGACAAGATATGAACAACCACATGAATTTTCTGAATTTCCATGGCACATATTAAGGCATATTTTCCTACCATAAGGCCATACAACAATAACAAAGACAGCAAAATCGACCTTTCTCTCCGCCGACAACGGATCATTCACGAAAACAACCACGCGTGGAATAAGCGCTTTCAGCTTCCGTTGATTTTAACAGCCAATCAGATCCTGAGGCATTGTTCCACCAGCCAATCAGCGTTGCGGCCAAAATCTGGCCGCAGTGAGCAGAAACGTGAGAGAGTTTGTATCAGGCCCAATTTTAGCGGTAGCCGTCAGAGAGAATGCATGAGAACCGCTAAAATTGGGACTGATCTCAGGTTAGTGTTTTAATCACGTTTACATATTAGGTGGGGTGACCCGCCTCATGTTACCTCACCTATCAGGGGTCCCCCACCTCCATGTAAACAGGTCCTAAATGATAATCTGTATGGTCAAACCATCAATAAGTTATGTTCCTTCCTCACACAATTTTAACGCACAATTACAATGTATTTTTTAATCTTATTGGTATTTTAAACCAATTAGGTTTTACTTTATGTTCGAGGTTGTTGAATTTGCTACATTTATTTTCATTATTCAATAAAGGCCTTTATGGATTGACCTTGTCACGGTTTTCGACGCAATCTTGACGAGTAGGCAAACACGTGAGAAATTACAGTGTTTGTATGAGAATCTTATTTGGAATAATTTCCGTAGAACAGCTGTTCTGAAGAAAATATGATTTGTAAACTAAAGCCTCACTCCTAAGGATTCTGCTGAAAAAAATTGATGGCGTTACATGCGCTAGAAGACCTAGAACCACTTTTTAAATTTCCTATACATTTGTCTGTAGGAAAGTCCAGGGAAAATTACAGACAAACATAAGGAAATTCTGAAGCAAGCCTCTGGAGAAATTTAAGCACAGGTACACCTCCAAAAAATTTTTGGGCAATCCTTTACTTTGTAGCTTTAGTTTACAACTGATATTTTTTTGAGAACAGCCGTTTTACTGAAATTATTCAACTTTAGATTCTCATACAAACACTGTAATTTCTCTCTTGGGCCATACACAAAGTTGGTTGGTTTAAATATAGGATATTGCCTGAGCTCCGAAGCGTTCTTAAGAATAGAAGCAGCAGGTCATTATTGTGGCCACTGAAATGGAGCAGTGGTTATTATTCGTAATAATCACCTCCTGTTCCACGTTAACGACCTGCCCTTCCATTTATTGAAGATAATAACCTGTTCAAAACAATGGAAAGGTGCATTAATTAACAATTAATGAACAAGGCTGAGTATCTTATGAAGAGTTATGGGGATCGAGGAGGGTGTTATCCTTCGAGGCCGTAATAGTAAATAGTAATTACGACAGTCAAGTTGAGATAATTTATAAATGGAAAGGAAACAAAATAAGCTGATTTTCAATCTGATTAAGCTATGCTTGTGAAATTCAGACAGGAGATTTGCCTCATTTTTCTATGTAAATTGAGCCCTCACACTGGAAATTTTTCAAGACTATATTTTGTAGCCTAGCTGTTAATTGAGATAATTTTATGTTTGCCCTCCTTCTTCGATTCTGACCAATTACTTGCTTATTAGTACAGTTGTAGTACGGCATACAGATCTAATACTGGCATATCTAATTTACACGTGCACAGCTAGCAAAATAGAAATAGAGGCTACGTAATAACAAGGCCATTAAAAGTCCATAGATCTTCAGCCTCAATGCGATTTTTACTCACCCTCTTCAGCTCCTTTTGAAGGGTACGCTTTTATATTTTCAATCTCATGAAAGTCTTCAACTCGGGGCATTTTGCAAAATATACAGTTTATCAAGGGCCGAATGTTTTCCAAGATAAAAATATCTTTTTGTAAAGTTCAAGAATCCCTGTAAATAGATTCCCAGTAATAACTAATAATGACTTTGACAATAATTAACATATTCTCAGAGGGCGTTTTTATAATTCACTGACTATTCCCTGACCGACTATAGTTTCTTTTTCCTATCCCTAAGTTGAGTTATGTTACCGCCAGTCTTGATGTATGTATGTACTTTGAGTTGAACACTTCGTACCAGCTTGGGCTTAACACGTGGTTTATCAGGCGGATATGTGGGTATAGCCTCGCCGGTTACACAAGCTTGGTTTGATTCTCAATGTTTTGATGATTCTAAGTTTGAAGAATGAATACGTGAAAGGTGTCTTTGGTAAAATATTTTTATCCTTTGCAACACTTTGATTTACGCGCCAAAGACAGTTAGATCACGAGTAAGTTAGTCCGAGTTAACAAAGAAGAGAAACACTTCAGCGCGTGGGAAATCACCTCGTATAAAGGACACGTCGTACATGAGGCTATTGAAGCTCGGCCTGTAGATAGCGCCCCGCAAGTCACGTGTTTTAGTTTGGTCGCTAGTGAGATTTAGAATTTTGTTTACTCAACGTTTTTCCTTTGCTTGTCGTTTCCTGTTCATGAACCACACAAATATTAACATTTTTTTGCACAGTTTTCATCTGATCGCTTCCTAATTTGTAAAAAATATTGTGAACTTGAATCTCAAGGTTGCAGTTTCCCATGATGTATTGGTTGATTTACACAAGGAAGAATAACTGTTGTCAAATCAGTGTCCCACGAAATCACAGTCCACACCTATTTATAAGAGGGTGGAAACTGCACACAAAAAAAAAGCAGAAAAAAATTATTTTCCGCCTTGGAAGTGATTGATTATTTAGCACCAGCAAGGAACCTAAAACAGAAACTGACGAAATTGACGGTTTAGAAAACTTACCTATTGCCTCGGACGTTTTTCTCAGTGGCTAGATTCTGTCTTAATCATACACAAGCGTGATTATTATTATTGTTTATTATATTTGGGGGTGGTGGGGGAGAGGGGGTGTTTTCACCGTTTGTTTATTTTTCTTTAGTGATGCCGGAATTAATGTTTGCTTTGAATTGATGAATGAATTGATGGTTGCTTTGATTTTGAATAGTAAAACAGCACTTTTTACACGTGAGTGAATTCAGTTTATAGTTCCCGCCAAGTATTCCATTGAACTAAAGCACAGATTCATAATGTATTCAACTCAGCTCGTCTTTACATAGTCTGCTACACAGCCGTTTTTAGTGTCGTCACGCAATGTTCCTCCCCAAAAACGGCTGCTGAGAATCGAACCACGTTCCTTTCCCGCGGTTGGCCAATTAGAATTCAGCTCCCATTTTCTGGAAAGTGTTCTCGAGACGTTTGCGGCACGGTGACT